AAGCCAGAGCTCAGTCCACCACCTCCTTGGAGGCCCCCTGCTGTCAGCTCTACCCCCCACTCTGCTGCAAGGCACTTTCTTCACAGGGTGGGTGACAGTCCAGCCGGTTTCCTTTCCATTTGGTTCCCTCGGGCTGACACAAGTCTGTAGGCTGGGAGCAGCAGCATTGCCTGGGAGTTGGTTAGACACGCGTCTGGAGGAGCCGGGGGCTAGCTCAGTCTGTGGAGTGAGCACTTGGCCAGTGTGGGAGCAGCTCTGGGTTCTGTCCCCAGCACTGCCTAAGCTGTGCTTGGTGGCGCACACCTGTCAGCCTAGAAGGGGAGGCAGGAGGATCGGAAGTTAGAAGGACATCCTTGGCTACATACATAGTGAGTTTGAGGCTAGCTTGGGCTACATGAAACTCATCTGAGAGAGGGAATGGACATAACATCTGGAACTTGGCTTAGTGGTACACGCCTGTAATTTGGGAGCATTTGAGAGGGAGGCTGGGGCAGGAGGACCAGTGAAAGTTCAAGGCCAGCCTGGGCTGTGAAGTCATACCTGCCACAGAGGCAGAGAAGCAGCTGGACGGATCCCCAGGAGGACCAGTACGCAGGCGCAGTTGGGATGGTGAAGGGACACCATCCTGGCCACTCCCCTGTTCTCTTTGCAGGCCCTGTTTTCTCTATCTGGTCCCAGAAGGACCCAACAAGATGGCTGTTTGTCTCCTGTCCGTCCCAGCAGCTTTGCCCGTAGCTGGGTGATCCCAGGTCTTTCAGAGACCTGTTACTCCTCTGGGAATAGAAGCACCAAGAGGCAGGACTCGGTCTAGCTTCCTTTACTTCCTAATATCAAATCAGGGTAGGTCTTTTTTTCTTTACATAGTAATTCCAGAAACAGGAGTGAGGGAAACTGGAAGTGATGACCATGTTCCTGTGATCTACTTGCTTCGAAGTGTGCCTCTGAGGGGGAGCACAGAGCACTCAGGGTGAGAGATCAGTTTTTTTCTATAAAAAGCATCCAACCTGGCTGGGTTGGTGGCTCCCGCCTTTAATCCCTGTACTTGGGAAGCAGAGGCTGGTGGATCTCTGTGAATTCAAGGCCAGTCTGATCTACACAATGAATTACAGGACAGCCACAGCTACATAGTGAGACCCTGTCTCAAAAAAAAAAAAAAAAGAAAAAAGAAAAAAAGGATGCAGTTTGCAGCTGGTTGTTTTGTGGGTTATTTTTGTTAGCCCAGAGGCAGGCATGTAAGTCCAGAATTCTCTTAGCCATTTTATAAAGAACACAGGCAAGTTTCTCAAAAGAACTGCCTCAGAGAGGAAGGAAGGAAGGAAACCAACTATCTATTGGTTGTCCCATCCATTCATTCATTTGCCTGTCTGTCCATCCTGTTATCTAATCTCATGGTTCTGTGTGGTTGAATGACAGAGAAGGGGCTTTGGGGTTGAGACCAGGGCTTCTGACAGGGCCAGGCCCAGATGGCCTTCCTGTTTTCACTGACAGGCCAGAAGCATATGAATTTTGGAGAGTCAAAGACAGAAATTAAGTGCTGCTACCAAGACTTGGGCTAGTCTTGGTAGGTGTATGGTTTAACTTGTCAGGTGTTTGGGTAGAGATTAATACACCTATGTTTTTGTAAACTCACTGACCAGCCAAGAGTCAGTTCTCTGTAATCAGAGCCCTAGGGAGAGAGCGTCCATGGCACATAGATGAGGGGTCTTCTCGCTAAAGTACTCAAGTCTATTTAAATGGAATTAAATTGTTTAATCAGAGCACAAAAATTGGTTTAAATTATTTCAAAGTAAGAATACAGGATAATTACAAGACTATGTGTTTAGGATGAGGGCCAGGAAGCAAATCCTCTCTGTCCTATCTGTTTACCCATGTACCCATCTGCTTAGCCACCCCACCCACCAATCCACTTATCCATCTCTCCCCCCCATCCTACAGCTACCGTCCATCCATCTATCATCCACCACGTCATCTCACTCATTCATCCCATGGGCCTATCCATCAGCCCTGTTCCTCTACCCCCATCTACCCCCATCTACCCCCCCATCCGTCTATTCACCAATCAGTACCAATTCATGAGCCATCAGCCCACTTACTTCATCCGTGCACATGTCTTCTGAGTGTTTGCTTTCTCTCAGTTTTACAAGAATGTAATCAAGGCTTGCTGTGGGCTAGCAGATCAGACCCTCGGCTTGTCCCCAGTGAAGCAATAAAGTTGATTAAGGGCACCCGTCCCATATGATCAATGTGAATTCTAATGCGCGTGCTCCTCTGTCTGAGCATTTCCCCTGTGAAGGGAGGAGCCCCTTGGGCAAAGATAGAGAAGGCGATGCGTCCTTTATCTCTGCATCTCCCACAGCTCATGCATAGACTAGCATGTGGCTAGAGCAGTGTATATGTGTGTGTTGACTGTTTCACATCTGCAGGTATTGAACGACTGGGCAAGTTCCAGCTGACAGGAGAGGTAAATGAAATGCTTAAAGTTGGAAGTTAAGGACTCAGGACATTTGGGTGGGGAAGGAGAACGAGAGTTAGCTCTTGGTCCCCTTTCTCTTTCCTATTCGGTTTCTGTTTGAAGGGCAGAGTTGGGGAGAGGTCCTTGCTGCTCTTACCCCTTGCTGCCACTCCTCACGAGTCTGATATGCAGCTACAGGAGATGAATCTGGCTTATCCCAACCCACTAGCTAGCACAGACATAGCTTAGAGTCTCTATGAGAGACCAGGAGACCCCCTAGGTAAACACCAAGTCAGGTAGTCTATCTGGCTCCTTGATCTGGGCCAGGCTGGTCCCCCAGGAGGCTTTCTGTTTCCCCCACCCCCATCTCTCCTCAGTTGACCTCTGTTCTCACAAAGCTGCCCTTTCCTTCCCGCCTTGAAATCTGATAATGAAACTAATACCCAATATTTTTGCCTGGGAGAGAATCAGGAGATAAACAGGAAGGCATGAGGGATTAGGGTGTCTCTCGAAGGCAGGGCCCATGGCTTGGTGGGAGCAGGCTGACACCTCTTTGTGGGCCTGAGGGATCCAGATGTGGGCCCCTTTGCCCAGTGCATTTTTCCATTTGTGTAGAGAAAATAAAACAAAGAGAAAAGAAAACAAGCTGTAAAATACTTCGCAGAAGTCCGGGCATGGGAGATTATCACTTGATGCTCCCTGACAGCCCGAGGAGGGGCAGGGGGTGCTTTTTGATGTTGGCCTCAGAGTTTTCTTTTGTATGACCAGTTGTTTGGAAAGAACCTTTTGTTGGTGTGAGGTATGCTGGAAGGAGATTCTGGCCTGAGCTTTCCCAAGGGGTAAGGAAAGCAGGCCCTCATTCCCAGAAGGGCTCAGAGAGGCCTGCTGGGTGCTAGGCAGCTAGAGCCTCCTTTAGAGGCTCTTTCCTGCCCAGAGAGACATGGCTGTGTGTCTGCCTCTGAGAAGGACCAAAAGTTGCTGCTGAGGCCATTCTGTGTGCAGAGGAGGGCAGTGACACCCGGGGGTCCTTGCAGATCCCCAGTCCTGAGCAGGAGCACCAGGCTTCTGTTCCTGTGGAATAGCTCCAGGTTCCGGCTTGTAAGTTCAGGTTCAGCTGTTCTGTACATCATCCCTGAGGCCATCTAGCAGCAGGGAGGCCTAGCTGCAGCCAGCCAGGACTCTTCACTGACTCCTCAGTGCTGGGCTGGCTGGCTGAGCCCAGAGCGTCTCCGAGTAAGTCCTATCTCTTGTCTCACTGAGTGAGCCCAGAGACAGAGGGTGTTGTGTGATGGCCCTCCATGTAGAAGGCAGAGATGCAGTTTGCGTGTGCCTGGTTGGACTCATCACCCGGGGATACCTGCTCAGGAATGCTTCCGAGGCTCTTGGGAGTCAGATCTGTTCTCTGGTCCAAACTGGCTTCCAGCTGCTTCTGGACTGCAGGGCAGGCAATGCATCAAGCCCTCCATGAAAGCCCTCCTCCACCTCTGCTTGTCAGTCAAGTGACTCATGGGCACGTGATTTGGGGACTGTCTCCTGGAAGAACATTTAACAAAGCTTACAACAAGGGAGAGCAAAATCCAAGTGGCAGTTGTAAAGAAAAGAATCTAAGTAAAAACAGCGTCCAATAAGAAATCGGGAAAAACATTTACAGCTAGAGAGAGAGAGGAAAGGTGAGCCATGTCCTGGACAGGCAGTACATACACGGAGATGAAGATGAGTCCCAAGGGCGTGTGCCTCCCTATTCTGTAGTCATAGACACGGGTGGATATCATGTGCAGGCCTTTTCCCCCGGACAACTTGCGAACATTTATATATTTTCTTTTTGTGCTGATACCAAATGTGTGTTGTCATTCTTTTAAAAGCTGTGATGGAATGAGTGCTTTTTAGTATAGATCCAGGCGCCACCCGTCCCTCCCCCAATTTTGGATCCATACAGTTGTTTAAATGCCGTAGATACAGGCAGACAGAGGCAGGATGGAGAGGAAGGGGTGATGTGGAGGAGGAGCCTCTGGGTCCAACGAGAGACCTCAGACTCGAAACTGGAAGCTGGTTTGTGGGTTATGAGCAGAGAGATGGTGTGAGATGCAGGAGCTAGATCTCAAGAGCATCAGGGAAGGCGGGTAAGGTTCTGTGATGCCAAGCTGAGTGTGTAGGCCAGGGAAGCGAACGGAAGTGGTACTGGCAAGGAGAAGACCCTTAGAGATGGAAGCTGAGGGGCCTGGTGTGCTGGGTGGTGGGAAGGAGAGGGGCAAGTCGATGGTAGAGGTGGATGCCGGGGCATCTGGGTATGGCCTGTTCCTGCTGAGGGACTTAAACACACTTATTTATGTCAGCTCCAAAGGCTGCAAGTCCAAGGTCGTCACGGTGTGGGAGGCCTCAGCCGTGGTATGTGAACTACTCACTCAGTGTTTCCAAGTGCCAGGGAGCGAGCTAAGGAAAGGCTTCCTGAGCAAGGGCTGTCCTGCTGGGACAGGGCACCTGAGATGGGCCTCTCCTGGGTGTCAGCCCCCCACCCCCTTGTGCTGATGACCTCTCTGTTTCCCCACAGCCTGCAGCTGCAACCTCCATGCTCGGCGCTGCAGATTCAACATGGAGCTCTACAAGCTGTCGGGGCGCAAGAGCGGGGGTGTCTGTCTCAACTGCCGCCACAACACTGCAGGCCGCCATTGCCACTACTGCAAGGAGGGCTTCTACCGAGACATGGCCAAGCCCATCACCCACCGGAAGGCCTGCAAAGGTAGGGCGTCTGGCGAGCCGGGGACGTGAGGCCACTCTTCCCCTCCACCCTTTCCATTTATTTTTCTAGTTCTCTTACAGAGCAGACTAGACTGAGGTGTATCCATACACAGGTGTGTGTCTGTGCCTCTGTTTCTCTCTTTTTCTCTTTGTCTCTGCATCTGCCTCTTTCTCTCTGTCTGTTTCTTTCCCTCTCTCTCTATCCCCCTCTGCCCCTCTTCCCCTCTCTCTCCCTCCTGTCAAGGCCTCCCTGGAATTTGGAGGTGAAAGCCAAAACAAAGGGGCAATGGAGACAGGCTCAAAGAAGAAAGTAGTAGGGTGTGCTCCCTTATGTGGTGCAGGGCCAGGCTCCCAGCGCGTCCCCCTCCACCTCCCTCCTCCTCAGCTTCTCCTCAGCACAGGTGTGCCGCATACCAGAGGAAAGAGAGTCATGTTCGCCAGGCTTACTGTCGGGACAAAGGACCCTCTTCTTCTAGCCCCTCACAGACACTTTTCTTTGGATGTGTTCACACTGCCTCCCCCTCCCACCCCATCACACACACAGGCACACACACAAAATGACAGCAAGGCTGGCAGTTTCAGGATCAGGGTCTCAGAAGGAACATTTAATCCATCTGCAAATAGCTTTACTCTTCAGGACCCAAAAAAAAAAAAAAAATTAAGAGGAGACTATTAAGAGGAGACAAGCACTAATGTTTTAACTTTCTGCTGTTTGTTTGCTTGTTTTGTTTTTTCCTCTCACCAACAAAAATGAAGCAAGCAATGGTCAGATGACTCAGAGGAGCAGATGAAATGCCAGGGAACTGAATGAGAGGGGGGACCTCTCATTCAGTAACCTCCCCCGACTCCACATGAGTCTTTGGGAATTCCAGGGACTTAGGATTTCTTGCTCCTTTGTTTGGGGTCTAGGGTCAGAGTAGGCCTGAGCTTGAGATGTTTACATTCAGGGAAACAATGGGTCTTTAGGAACCTTGGGGCAGGAGGATCCCTTTTGGATGTGGTTCACCTCTGAATGAAGCAGAGGTGTTTTCGTACCGGAAGGACATGATGTTGGGTACCTATGTGCAGACTGACTGTGTAACTTGAGGGACCCAGAGCCAAGTGAAAAAAGCAGGGCTCCTGATGCAAAGGTGATAAAGACTTTCAAAACCACAGTGGCAGAGCCTCATTCAAGTGTGTGCCCCTCTGAGCATCCGGCCACCTCTGCTTGTGTAGAAAACATCCTTAATAACCAAATAACAGCAACTACCCGCCTCGGCTCTGCAGACTCGGCTCTGAGAGAGAACTGCTGGATTCACATGCACAGATGAGCAAGGTGTTTCTCAAGACAGGCTCTCCTTCCACATCTTTGGCCATTGGCTGCCTTTGCTGGTTGCCAAGAGAATTTGAGCCTGAAAGTGACTGGGCCTATTTCTAAATCAGAAAGACAACAGATTCAGGAGAGAATGCTCTGGGAGATGGACAGGCAGGTGGCCCAGGCAGTGACATTCTGCACTGCCAGGAAGGCGTGAGCAGGGAAAGGCTAGGGAGAGGGGCTGGGGTCTTTGGAGAACAGAGCTGGAAGGTTCCAACTCCTTTGCCTATAGCTGAAGTATCTGCTGTCTCTTTTCCAGAAGAGAGAGAAGCTGGGATCTTGTAAACAAGTGGCACGGCACACATTTATTGGCCGTTTGGCCAAGAACTTTAACCGTGGCAGCTACTTCAGTGGACAGTCCTGTGCTGAGAACAGGAAGGTCCAGGGTCTCTGCGACGAAGGATGCTGGGTACTTCCTGCCCTGCTGGTTTTTGCCTTTGGGGCAGAGATTCTCAGCTTTCTTTGCCAGCCGGGGCTAGACAGAGGAGGGTGTGTTCCGGTTCTTGTGACTTCAGATGCTGGTGGCTGTCCCCAGCCTTAGTGGGAAACCAGGATAAACTTGGAGGGGGAAAGCTAAGATGGATCTTGGTCAGGAAGAGACAGACATGGGTGTGTGGAAGGAAGCCAGTGGTTTAGGAACCCCACACCTTGGTGTGGGAAGAGTGCTTCCCTGATCCTGCACCCTGATGGGTGAGGAGAGGAAAAGTGTATTGTGAAAAATAGGCCTTGCTCCATGATTGGAGAGAAAAGGCTGTACTTTGATTAAGTTTCTAATGTGACAGAAGTAGCCATCTAACTGGCAGAGAAGGAATCTCTTGAGAGTTCTGGATCTCTGCTTCCTGCCCTTCCCTTCCTGGGTGTCACCTCCTTGGGGGATGTGGGAACTTTGAATACCCGTTTATAGGTACTTCCTGCAAAAGAGCAACCTGGTGACTTAGGCAGGAAGCAGCCTTAGGATCAGTTCAGATGATGTGCCCCTGAATCTCTTGGGTGAAAATACCTTCCCTTCTTGTAGGACCCTTCTGCCTGTCCTCTAGGCCGCATGGTTTAAGCAATGGATCTTTGCCTGTAAGCTTGTTGGCCCCCAGTTGTGTGTGTGTGTTGACAGCTGGTTCTTTGAGGAGTCCAGATCTTGTGGGTATCACTCTGTCCCTAGCCCTAGCCTCTGAGAGTGGCCCCCACACACGAGGAGCCCCACCCCAGGCCCTCACAGGAAGGCTGCACGTCTTTGCTTTACCCTAATTTCACAGAGGAATTGGGATGACTGGCCTTCTCTACTCCCAAGTTGGCTCGAGAATGGCCGTGGGGCCCTCTTTACCCCCTGACTCTTCAGGGCCTGGGAGGGGCCCGGGCAGGGGGCCCAAGGCCACCCATGCACTGCTGGTGATTGGCTGGCCTGAGACCTTGTTCAGTGTTGAGCAAGGGTAGACCCAGACAAGAACAGCTTGGAGCGAGGGCATTTGATTCCAAACATTACTATGCAGTCTCCCCATTTGGGAAGTTTCATAGCAACAAATTTGTTGGGGTCTTTCTCCCCTCCCCTAGCTCAGGGGCAACTGGGGACTGGCAGGGTTGGTGCATACAAAGGGCTGTAATAAACATGCCCAGGGAACAGGCCGCTGCACTCCCAGCTATTCAGCGCGATTTCACAGCGCTGGGCCAGCCTCATTATGGTGTGGGCTGTTGTCCTATACAAAGTCAGATGAGATGAATCTCTCCCCTTTCTCTGCAAAATGGTTTGTGAATGATACTCGTCCTGGAATCTGTCAGAGGATGGGAGTTTTTGTTTACCGTCTGACTTCTTTATGGACTTAGCAGGCACTTTCTTTTTAGAGCCTGCAAAGAAGACGTTGCTATTTAACCATCTCGCCCATGCCTCCATTGATAACAATATTAATTTATCATTTCCCCAAACCATCTGTGATGGATAAAGACATTCCAGGAGGCCCCCGTGAACCGAATTGTGATGAGAATTAAGAAATTAACCACCCCATCTAGCTCCCCCATCACAAAGGGCCCTCGTTCCATCTCACTGAGCAGCAGCCTGTTCTTCCCGCTCTGCCCTGCCCCCTTCACTTCTGTACCGAATGTGGCTGAAAGGAGGCTGCTAAGAAGGTGCCCGAGCCTCTGGAAGATGCAATCATTAGCGGGACAGAAGCATGAGACAGCGCTCACCAGCCGTGCACTGCGCTCTTGGTCTCCCATCGCCCTTTATCTCTTCCTACAGCTCCGCCAAAGGTTGGGGGTCAGGGAGGGGAGGAGAGAAACCCCGTCCAGCCCTCTCTAGCCTCTTGGGGCCACTGTGTGGAACTGTCTCCCTTGCCCCCAACCCTAGTTGTTTTTCTTTTGGATGGTTTTCCTTTCCCTTCCTGGCATCATGAGCCTATTTTTCCCAACTTGTCATTCTTGGTTGCGTGAGAGAATTAGCCGGGATGTTGCAAAATGCTGCTTGGGTCCCAGCCCAGAGATTCTGGTGTAATTAATGGGTCCAGATGAGATGTAGACACCTGACCTTGGAAAAGGTCTTTGAGGCTGAGAGCTGCCGGGGCAGGGTCGGTGTATAAGAAATAAAGATGGCCGGTTGCCTTTGGTATGGATTCAGGAAAGTCTTTAGGGGTACCCCAGGCCCTACAGTTTATTCCTTTGAGAGGAGAGATTACTAATTGATAAATGCAAATGTTTTAAAGACCCTTTTGATGAAAACTTGGAGGGTGCTTAAAGTTCTTTTACTTTGAAATCTTGCTGGGTGAGACACCTTACTCTCCACTCAGCCCATGAAGGTGTATACTCACCCACTGTTTCGGTCCCTTGTGACAGTTCCACTTTCTGTCAGAATTTGGGTGGTTCAGGCAAAGAGGTCGTCAGTGGCAGCTCATTGCAGCTCTAGCTCTGAGCACAAAGGTCCCCATCCATGAAGTGGCCTCCTGTTTGCAAGGAGAGAAAGAGGCAGCTAGACCCTGCAGAGCTTCACCATGCTCTCTTGGGGACGTGAGAGTCAAAGCTGCAGCTACAGGTGTGGCTCCTGAATCTACAGGGCCCCTGTGGACAGTCTCCAGGACATTGGGCTAATCTCACAGCACCTTAAGTCTCAGTCATTTTACCTGTGGCGTTAGTCATCTCGGGTTTCTGAAAGTCACTGAGCCCATGTCTGCATTGACAGTCCACATTCTACCCACCATTCTTCTGGAGTCAAAAAAAAAAAAGTTAGGTCTCCTCATTGGGAGGGGGGAGGTCATTCTTTAGAGTCATGTGTTTGTGATTAGGAAGATCCAGGAAATAAGGTGATTTTGTTCAGAAGTCGTTACAAATGACCATCCTGTGACTAGCCCTTACCCCATGCAGGGGGGTGGGAGGAAGCTGGATCCCTTCCTGTGATCTTTGCTAGCTCTACCCCCCTGGGTGTGAGTGTTCTTTTTGTTCTGGCGTTTCTCATCCCAGCACTCTCTCCAGGGTTCTCAGTGCTTGACTAGAAAAGACCCTGACCTTTGAGTTCTCCAGGCTCTCGATGCTTCCTCGCATGGCAGTCAGGAGGGTTTAAGGGTATCTGGTTTGGGAAGTAGCCTTTCCTTGGGGCTTCTGCTGAAGAAGAACATCAGGTGGATCTAGCATCCAGGCTCCAAGTCAGGGCTCAGGTTCTACTTCTGGGC